GAATTTTTTCTTGTAACTTAAGGGCATAATCCAAAAAAAATTTAAAAATTATATATGTACCTACATAATTGTGTAAAAATATTTAAACCATCAAATAATTTAAATCAGCAGCCAAATATATAAAATTAGTTGGTCGTCTTCTCAACCAAACTAGAAGAAGGAAAAACACACGAGAAAAAATTCACACACGCATACATGGTGAAAAATTAGAACCTCGTGACCCTCCCCTCCACCGTAAGTTGGATTGTCTTTCCTACAACCGTCTTCAAAGTTCAAACATTAACGATGTGGCCCACCGACAACCAACACGTGATTGAAGCGACTAAAGGCAGCCCTCCGCCACGACCACGCGTCCAACAGGACAAAGAATATACATGCACATGCGTACGTAAGCATGCCGGTTGGTAAAGCTTTGCGTGCGTATGAGTTAATTATTTTTTATCTACTTTTCTTTAAAATTATTATTAATATATTAGCGTGACGTTGGCAACAGTTTTTCAGAATTATTTTTGAGTTTTTTCATGTAAAAATTATTTTTTAATTTTGAAAATTCCCATGTAATTTTTGTTTGTCTTCAATTAAATAGATAAAAATAATTAGAAGCTGAAGTTTAGATAAAAAAAACTTTTAACTATAAGTAGTATTAGTAGAAACATTCTTTTAGACATTTTTATTCTCAAAATTTTTCTTAAATACAAAATTATTTTTGTCTTTTCTGTGAAAGAAAACTTCACAAATTGATTTTTTAGATTTTTCGGACTTAAATTTAAAATTATACAAATTACATCGTTACTGTCTTCTTCATCACTTTGTAACATATTTTGAATATATACTTAACTTCTACTTTTAATCCACACTTTTATCCACTTTTTCTTTAAACTCTATTTACAAAAACTTCCTAACCTTGCACACATAGTGTTTGGCTTTTCTAAAAATACAAATAAATCATTTTAATTTTTTTAATTAATTTTATGTTAAATTAATAGCTCTAAAAGTTTTTATTTTATTTTTTTTAAAAGAAATTTGTCAGGTTTCTGCTTGGCCTGAACGTCGTGATGCACGCTCAAATCTTTCCAGCTGTAAAAGTTCTTTTCATATGAAAATAGAAATGTTATTGTTTAATTATATAAGACTAATTAAAGTGGCAGTAATTATTGGATTTACGGTAAATGATCGAATTCTTCTTAATATTTGACCGAATTCTTCTTAATATTTGACTTAAAAAGATTTTTTTAATCAAAGAATTCAAGTACCATTTAAAACCTCTGGAAAAATATTAAAAATGTTTGATATACAGATGAAAAATATAATTGAGGGCACCAGTACAGAGCATAGGAGTCTAACTTAAAAATCCCCAAACAACTTTTTTGAGACCGATGGCTTGGGGTGCTCACATTAAACAGCACATTTAATATCTGTTAAATGCTTAAAAAAGTAAATATATAAAATTGTTGCTTCCACATCTAATATTAAAATAATTTATTTAATATCAAGTACTATTTTGACAGAGTAACATTACTACCTAGATATTAAACGCATCCGTTAAAATAAACTAAAAAAGAAGCTCTCAAAATTTATTGGATACTTGAAAAAGTAAATGTATATGTATGAGATCACTGTATATTACCTATATATTATCTAGTACATGCACGTCCAGTGTTAAAGTAAACGAGAAGGGAAGCCCTCAAAATCCAGCCAGCAGCCCATCAATTTGGAGAAATTAGGAACAATCTGAAGAAGGAACAAAAATAGACTATATTCCATGAACGGGCTATTTAACTGAACATATTAAATCTCCTAGTCAATTGACTAGTAAAATAGAGTTAAAGTAGATATGTATCAAATTTTTTAAAAATATAATTTATTATGAGGGGTATATGTGTAATATTACATTCATAAATTGAAAGAATAAAATATATAAAATTGTTAGTAACAGAAAATTTAGTAGGTTTGGGAAAACCGTTCTTTCCGAAAGAGTTTAATCTTATGTTTTAAAGTGAGCCTCATGAAAAATAGTAATTGTAGAGAGAAAAATATAAAAATTTAAATTAAATTTAATAAATTGTGAGTTATTATCAATATTACAGCTGGTATTTTTTATTTTTTTTTTTATTTTTGAACAACAGGAAAGGGGAAAAAACCAAATAACAGATTGTGTGGATGAGATTTCCCAAAGGCTTTTTCCTTACGTTTTTATCTGAATGTGGAAAATTTCTGGTTAGCTCTGCTTTGGTTTCAACTACATCTCAACCATTGGCTAGGAGTATTCAACAATCCGAATCAAATTGATTAGACCGCATAAATCAAATCAAATTGTATAGTGCAGTTTAGTTTGAATTTGATGTTTAGACAAATCATATAAACTAAATCAAACCGTATAGTTTATATATATATAAAAAACTAAAAATCATATTTTTATATATATAGTATATTTTTATTCTTTAACTGTATATTTTTTCTGTTTATTATATTTTATATTTATATGTAGTTAATAATTGATTATTTTTAATTAAAGTATAAATTCTATTAGTAATAATGAAATTCTGTAAAATAATATAAATATATTTATTATAAAATACATAATTATTATTAATTAATTTATTATAAGTTAAATATATTGAGAAAAAAAAATAGATAACCAATTTTTAAAAATATTTTATTAAAATATTTATAAAAATAATTAATTAAATCTATTTTATTTTATAAATCATAAATCATAATTTTAAATTAAATTAAATTATAAATTATAATTTTATTTAATTTATAAAAATTTATAAAATATTAAAAACTAATTCCATTTAAATTTAAATTTAAGTATTAAATCCAACCAAACCCAACCACCAACTATGCAAATATTTGCCGCCGGTCCGCTGTGCAGTGCCTGTCCTCACCTGAAACTTCTATTATTGAGCCGTAAGTGTACGAAAAAGGTAGAAAATTCAGACTTGATTTGGCCAACTTGATATAAGCTGAACGCAGACTTCTGTTTGCGCTTCGGGAGGTGTTTGCGACGGCTATTCTAGTTTCAGGGTTTTTTAATTATTAAAAATTATTTTACAATATTTTAAATAAAAACAAAAATTTTAAAATTAAAAAAGAAATTACTTTTAATTTCGATAACATTCTTATAATAATATATAAGTTATCTTAAATATTGTTTAACAATTTTACTTTTAAATATATATATTTTTTAATTTGTAGAATACCCTAACTTCTCCCTCCCTCTCCTCTCCTCTCCTCTCCTCCTTAGATCACCCCCATGTTAGATAGCCATGCCCGATCACCCCCAGATCACCATTGAAGGTGCAAAGAGAAGACCATCCCATTGACAGCCATGCCTGATCGTCCCTCAGATCTCCAGAGACTGCCATGCCCAACCTCTGCGAGCCTGCGACTGGGAAGGAAGGAAATAATAAATAAGAGAGAGAGAGAGAGAGGGAGATAGTGAAAAAAGAGAAGCTTGGGCATTTTTGTCATTTTAGTCAAAATTTTCACACAAGCAAACTCTACAAGTTATTTTCCAAACATTTGTTTTATCACTTTCAAAAATTTTTAATATATTTTACAAACCACTATACTTCTAATTATAATTCATATTTACAAACTTCTGTTTAAAATTTAAATTTTTGATTTTACAAAAGTAGTTACAAATACCACCTTCTAATTATAATTTATATTTACTCACTTCTACTTAAAAATTTTAATTTTCGATTTTCAAAAAGTATTTGCAAACACCACATTCGTAACAACAGGGATTTGGTTTAAGCTCAAAAATAGGTTTGAACTATTTGATTAGAAAAATTAAACCTTATTTGTATAGCTTTTTTAGAGCTCTTTTGTGCCCTTTTTTTTTATTCCATATTCTAACAAGGCACTACGTAAGAATAGAAAAATAATATAATAAAAAAGCTTTCTCTTATTCATGCATTTAAACATGAATTTTGGTTCAACACAAAAAAGCCAATCCATTAATAAAAAGGGCAAATCCACAACTCACAGAGAGTTGAAAAAAATAGATTTAAATAAAATAAATTTTGTTTTTTGATTATAAATGCTTGGTGAAAGTAGATTATAAATAATAAATATCTAATTTACTCAAAAAAAATTATTTTTTAGCAACTAATTTATTTTTATTATTATTATTATTATTATTATTATTATTATTTGGTTGAGGAGGGGATTTTGGCCAAACATGGGATGGGGATTCAGCCAAAACTAAAATGTGGGGTGGAGGTGGGGGACTTTGGCCAAACAAACCCTAGCCCCTGATATGGGTTGGGGATTATGCTAAACCTCCACCCCATAAACTAGAACGTGGGGTGGGGGGATGGAGGCGAGAGAGGGTTTGATTACCAAGTTTATCCTAACTTGGCCGGAATTAGTAAGTAATTAAACAGGGTTTATGAATTTTAAATTTTAATTTAATACATTTCTATAACTCTTGATTAAAATTTTATAATTTAATCTCCAAACATTTTTTTTTTTTTAAAAAGAACTTCTTAGTCGTTAATATCTCTTCTAGTTACATAATCTCTGCAAGTAACACAAGCTTGCGGTCGAATTGCAATGCCACAAGGCATCAAGCAGCCCATGTGAAAAATGAAAAAGTAACAAATGAACGTTCCAATAATGAATTTACAAGCTCACGGCAACGAAATGAACGTGACAATTAAATGTGTAGGTAACGATGAGCACTGCCTTCCAGCCCTATATGGCCTCATATCATACACTATATATATCTCTTTAAGTAGTGGAGATCAAGCTGAGCGAGAAATCAATTCCTGAGCTGTAGACTTTCATTCTATCAATCTTCCATGGAGTTTCTCAACCTTTTCCAATTTACCTTGCTTTTCTCAGCCCTGATCTTTGGCCTCCGCTTATTTCGCCGGAGAAAACTCCCCCCAGGACCCATTGGCCTCCCTCTGGTCGGAAACCTCTTTGAAATTGGTACGAAGCCACACCAATCACTAGCAAATTTGGCCAAGAAGTACGGTCCTCTCATGACAGTTCGTCTCGGCAGCAAAACCCTGGTCGTAGCTTCGTCGCCGGAAATGGCTCAGCAAGTCTTGCAAAAGCACGACGAGGCCTTCTCGGGTCGGGTCATATCTGACACCATCACCAAAGTCCAAAACTACGACCTGAGCCTGGTCTGGATGCCCGCCGGAGATAAGTCACGCTTAATCCGGCGAGCTCTCAGCACTTTTTTGCTGCACCCAATGAAGCTGGACACTCTAGTCGGGCTTCGCTACAAGGCGATGCAAGAGATGGTTCAACATGTAACAAAGGTGAGCGAGACCGGAGAAGCTGTGGTTATTGGAAAGTTAGCCTTTATTACGGCACTGAACCAAATGGCTAACACGTGCTTTTCCATGAACGTGGCCGATTACAACTCCGGCGAAGCACAGGAAATTCTTGAATGCCGTGAAGACGGTCGTGTTCGTCATTGGGCAGTTTAATATTGCTGATGCTTTCCCTTGGCTGAAGCCTTTAGATCCTCAGGGATTGAAGCGGAGAGCGAAAGTTGCTTACAACTGGCTTAATTCTGTTTCTAATGATTTTGTCACGAAGAGGCTGCAGCACAGGAAGCTTAAGATAGCCAGACATGGGGATATGCTAGATTCCCTTCTTGATTATTTTCAAGAAGAGCTTGAGCTCAACTATGAATATGTCAAGTTTATCCTAGTGGTATGTATTCTGTCTGCATATCTCCCATAGAGTTATGTCTTTAATTTTTGCCAAACGACATATTAACTTTCTCTAAGCATGATATATGTGATTATATAAATGATATAGCTATATGTATTATCTACTTGCATTTAATAGCAATAGAGCATGTCACTTATTCCTTTCTTAATGAGTCATATTAGAGCAAAAAGTAATTTAAAAATCAAGATGAAAAAAAAATTTGTTAACTGAAATATATTATTATGTTATCCAATTTTGTACATAAAGGTTATAATATAATTCCTAAAAACTTTTAAAAGATAAATATTCTGATTCCACTTGTTTTATTAAAGGGTTTTTTTTATTTATTCTTTAATTTCTTATACAGTAAGCATAAATGTATATCCTAAAGTGTCAAAATTCATTAAAAGTGAACAAATTACAGCATGAATAAATATATAACCGATGTAAGATGTGAAATCACAATAATTTTAATATGTGACATGGGATTTATGGTTAAAAAACTCATTTTGGATTAGCCTTGTGATTATCTACTTCTAATTTTCTATTATATAAAAGAATCAACTGAAAAGACAAATTAATATTGACGAAAAATCTTTAATTTGTGCAGGAGTTACTACTTGGAGGTACAGAAACAAGTTCAATTACCACTGAATGGGTGATGACAGAACTAATACTCAATCCGAATATAATGGCAACGGTGCGCGAGGAAATTAAGAAAAAGGTGGGAGATGAAGGAAGAATAGAAGAATCAGACGTACTCGAATTGCCCTACTTACAAGCTGTAATAAAAGAAACAATGAGGTTGCACCTCACTCTGCCGCTTCTCATCCCTCACAAAACAGAGACAGAGGTAGAGCTGAACGGTTATGTAATACCGAAGAATACTCAAAACAATAGTAAATGCTTGGGCCATTGCTCGCGACCCTAAATATTGGGAAGAGCCAACTGTTTTTAAGCCAGAGAGGTTCTTGAACTCTAAATTGGACTTTAAGGGTCAGCATTTTTCCTTCCTTCCTTTTGGTTCTGGCCGGCGAATGTGCCCGGGAATTCCCCTTGCTCATAGGGTTGTGAGTTTGATGGTGGCTTCGCTTGTTTATCACTTTGACTGGAATCTCCCTCATGGATTGACACCAGAGAAGCTGGACATGAATGATACCTTTGGCCTGGCGTTACAGAAGGCATCCCACTTATGGCCGTACCAACAATTTGCCAAAAATAAATTTTAATAATCAATTTCTGACCTTGATATATATATATATATATCCTTGGTTTATTTAGTGTTAATTAAATCTTGTGTCACAAGTTAAATAATAGATTGATGCATGTGAAATTTCGTAGCTTTTTACGTTAATTTTACAATTATTTCTAATAAAATTTACTTCCTACTTGATTTATGGTATAATTTTTTATTTTTATAAAAGTTGGTATTCCCATTTTTTCCCTCTTTTTGGCTGGGTGAATTTTAAAGGGGTGTCTTTTACGAGATCAAAAACATGTGTTTGTAAAACTGAAATATATCTTTGAAGCATGACACATTAGAGACAAATTAAACATTTTGGCATGTGTTATACATGTTTTTAAGGGAATGTTTTTTTGAAACCATGTTTGTTTATATATTATTTTTGAAACAAGAGTTTATGTAAAAGAATTAGTATGTTAGAAGTTGATATGGATAAGAGAATAAATTAAAAAATTAATATAGAAACTAAAGTGACAAAATTAAAATAGAAAGGACTAAAATCTACACACGCGTATGTGTGTGTTAATGCATACAAATATCCATATATGTGTTTGTGGTGCATGCACATAAACATACATATGTATGTATATATATGCGTGTCAGTTAGTGTATATACACAAGCACAAGTTGCGCTTGACAGTGAACGAGAAAAATAATATTTTTTTAATAAAAAATAAATTAAGTACTTTTAAAACTGAGTACATTTTTGAAAATGTGTTCAATCTTAAGAATATATATTTTACTTTTGGAGCATATACTCCTAAAGTATAATTTAAATATAAATAATACTTTTAAATTTTGATCTTAAAAATAGAAATATATGCATTTAAAACTGTAAAAAAAATGATCTCTTACATTTCCACAAGTGTGTGGGTTGTTAGGTCCCGATGGCTTACACACATCACACACTCACACATGGAATAAAACACTAACAAAGATGAACACACTTACACATAAACACACATAGCAAAGGAGAGAGTAAGCAATGGAGATAGGATTTAGATGGAAAGTCCATCCGGAAAAATCATGGGATCTTTCAAGATCTAGATAGACTTCTTCTACTACATATCTAAGTAGAATACAATGGTTTTTCTCTCATAGAGAGGACTCATTCCACTTATCCACAATGAGTCTTCCTTTGTTTAACCACAGAGGGCTTCCATGGCTCCACTGCACACTTGCACTAGGTGCACACAATATATATATATATATATATTTAGGGGTGTTCAACAAATCAAACTAAATTGTTTAGATCGATGAAACCGTGATTTGGTTTGGTTCGATTCAGTTTGAAAATGAATTTTTTTTTTATACAGTTTGGTTTGATATGTGACATTTATATAATCGTATAAATTAAATCAAACCGTATAGTTTATATATATAGAAAATTAAAAATTCTATCTCTTTATATATAGTATATTTTTATTGTTTGATTATATATTTCTTTATTTTATTATCTTTTTATATTTATATTTATTTTAATAATTAATTATTTTTCTTTTCTAAAGTGTAAACTCTATCAATATGAGTGAAATTCTGCAACACTGTATAAATATATTTATTGTATAATATATAAATGATGTAGTTAATTGATAAATAAAGAATTTGTTAAGTTAAACAGGTGGGGGGGAAAAAGAATGACTAATTTTTAGGAAAATTTTATCAAATTTTTTGTAAAAATAATAAATTTAATTTATTTTATTTTACAAATCACAAACTATAATTTAAAATCGAATCAAATCGTAAATCATGATTCAATTTAATTTATAAAAATTATAAATCGTAAAGTATAATTTAATTTATATTTACATATCAAATTGTATTAAACCAAATCATGAACACTCCTGCATGTATTTATAGAAAATATCTATTGCCTTAGTCAACCTTGAGCCGTCCTATTTTATTTCCAAGCCTTGCAGGCCACCCTGTTGCATGAGACACATTGACTTCAACCATTCTATTCCATGAGACATATTGACTTCAACCATCCTATTGCCTTTCTTGAGCGGCTATTGACGAGGCACTCAACATGGCTTTCCACGTTTGTAAGCTAAGAAAACAAGGCGAATAAGAAAGAATCAAACAGAAGATAGTCAACCTTGAGCCGTCCTACTTCTATCTCCCAGCCATGCAAGCCACCCTATTGCATGAGGCACGTTGACTTGAGCCATCCTTTTGCCTTGCTTGAGCCGGCCTATTGATGAGGCACTCAACATGGCTTTCCAGGTTTGTAAGCTAATAAAACAAGGTAAATAATAAAGATTCAAACAGAAGATAGTACCTATAGTAGCAGTCCAACCTTGTAATCTACCAAAGCAATATGCCAAGACTAATCAGCCACAAAACTGACATCCCTTTTCAATTCTACGTGCTTTGATTCCGTCCTTTCCTTTTGGAGGCCACCTGCCTGGTGATGACTGCATGCCCTATATGTTGTTTGGATAGATTTAAGATAGCTTTGATTTCTGCAGGTGTAGCTGATTATCTTTCGGGTGCAATGATATTCATCTCTTTACACAAAAAGGGAGTAGTAGAATCAGCAATGGCGGAGCAGGGGAAGAGCCAGAGCATGGGCAATGCCCGAACTACAACATTAAAAACTCATGGCCAGGGGTCTGCCTAGAAATCACAGAAAAAAGTGAGGTTCCCCGTGCAGTCAGTTTTTTATTTTATTTATTTATTTATTTTTAAGCGAGTACCGGTTTGTATCATTTAAGACCACAATAAGAACATGCATGGACGCTGCACATGGCGGTGCCCCACCAGTTCTTCGTGAGAGAATACAGGGGTCGGCGGTGGTTTTTTGGCCTTGCACTTCAGAGGGCCAGACCAGTGCTCCTGCCCTCGCAACACATCGTCAAAAAAGAAGGCTATTGGAAATTGCATAGCTGTCGTATAATGTCTGTTCATGTGCACCATCTTTTCGCGGTCTCTCCCTCTCCCCAATATATTAAAAATCCGATTGCTAGCATAATTAGTTTACAGATTCAAATTACTAGTTTAATTAAGGTCATGTCGTAAATATATTTAATATAAATATATATTTACATATTATGATAAATAATATAAAAAATATACAAATAAAAATAAAATTTTAAAAATTAATTAATAATTTATTTCATATCAATTAGTCATGATTTCACATTCAAAAGTTGAAATAAATAAGTTTGGCTTCTATGTTTTTTTAAGAAAAGAAAAAAATATATTAGCCAAACTAGTTAACTAATTTTTTTGGATCTTGACCAATTTTTATCGGTTTAAAATTTAAATAGTTTTGTACAATCAACCAACTTGAAAAGTATAGTAATTCTTTATTCAACCAGTTGAACTGCACGGTGCATTCCAATATTCAAAACAGTGTCTCTTTTTTTTTTTTTTTCAACTTTATGAAATAAATATCCTCTGTAATTTCAATGAACAATTTTCCTCCATCGCCTCTATTGTTTGAACTTGTGTTCTAAAAAATGTGTTAAATTAGAATAAATTTTGTGCCAATGGCGGAGTTTAGTGAGAGCATCCGAAAGTTCTTAATAGATACTTCAAAAGTTACGGAACTATTAATAGTGACACTTCATACCATAAGGACCAAATAGAATTCTTAAAAAACTAGAGAGGTTCAGGTATAATTATTCTAAAGCAGCTCTCCAGAAATTCTTTGCTTTGAATTTCTTATTTGATTCTATGAAGATAGACCGGTGCTGTATCTTGATCTATTTTATTGATGGATCTTATTTTCATGCCAATTACAACAATGCCCTCAATCAAAAACTACCTTGACAATGCCACCGGAATTTATATGTTGAAAAAGGGTTGTTGGAAATTATTATGATGCAATACGGACATAACATATTTCATTTTAAACTTTTTATTATTATTTTGATTAATGCAAAAGTTAATTACATATTATTTTATTTTATTTACATAGAGAAAAATTTTTTTTTGAAAAAAAGTAAGAACGAAATGGGGAGTGGTAAGAGTGGAACAACGAGTGAGAATATTTGTAAATATGAATCTTATCATAGGCAAGAGGCCATACTAGAGAAACCAATGTGAGTTTCTAACTTATTGAACTGGTTTAGTGATGTTTCAAGGTTCAAGACCAAAAAGGAGTCAGCACCGAGACGCTCAGTTGCTTCCTTCATCTTGTTAGGAGAGGTACTTATCACCGTTACTTTCACTCCAAAAGCTTTGGCGAATTTAACAGCTGCATGGCCAAGGCCACCAAGACCAACCACGCCCACATGCATGCCAGGTTTGTCAAGTCCGAAATACCTAAGTGGGCTATAAGTTGTGATCCCAGCACAGAGCAAAGGAGCACAAGCGTCCAGAGGGAGGTTTTCTGGAATGCGAATGACAAAGCTCTCATCACATACCATGATGTCGGAGTAGCCTCCGTACGTGGGGGTACCATCGTGGTAAGTGCCGTTGTATGTCTGTATGCCCTTGGGACAGTAGTTCTCGAGATCATTAGCACAGTTTTCACATGAATGACATGATCCGACAAGGCACCCAACTCCAACTTTGTCTCCAACTTTGAATTTCTGCACTTTGCCCCCCACCTCTGTCACCACACCCACAATCTCATGCCTACGTTGCAGTCGACCGAATCATGAGTTTAGGAAGTTCAGAAATCTGTGCGTAAATCAAGGTTAGCGAAGAAAGTATCGAGAGGGAAAGTGAAAGAATTACCCAGGGACAACGGGATAGTTGCTGATGCCCCATTCGTTCTTGACCTGGTGGAGGTCGCTGTGGCAGATGCCACAATACAACACTTTAAACGTCACATCCTTCTCTCCAGTTGCCCTGCGTGCAATTAGGACATTACATTAAATCACCGGACAGAGACAGGCAAGTTTAATCGGAAGAACAGAGGCTTTACCTTCTGGAGAATTTAAAGGGTGCCAGGACGCCAGACAAGTCCCTGGCTGCCCATCCAACTGCCTTCACTGGGTGTTGTTCCTCCCGTGATTTGGCCATCAAGAGCTAGTGTGAAAGTAAAATTGCAGCCTAGTGATAAAGAGCAAAAGAGAGAGAATAGAAAGTATAGAGAGAGAAAGTGCAGGAGAGCCAAAACCTTCCACTGATTTCTGTCATAGGAAAACTAATGAAAGCTATATATAGAGTCCTGGATGGCAGGGGATGACGCAGGCGATGAGCTGGGCCGTCGTTGCGGGGATCGGGTTGAGTTGGAAAATTGTATTCTTATTTTTCAGCGCGAAGTTTGCTGATTCCCACCACTCGAGATCAACTACTACGTAATTGTTTTATTTTTTTTTTCTCTTAGAATTTCAGTTTATTTTATTGAAACATAAAATAATAATTTTTTTTATAATTTTTAATTTATAAAAAATTGTTTATTTATTTCCAAAGTTCCTAAAAATAAATTGCGATTTTTCTGATTATTTTAGATTTTTTGAGGCGAGAGAACATCCAAATAAACTTTTAACTTGTGCTCATACTTGTAGAGAGGGGGGGAAAAAAGAAGAAAGAGGAACGCTTTGTTCATGCTGGAATTGAAGGCTGTCAGAGAACTAGGATATGCATAAATTGAAATTTTAGGGCCAACATCAAAAGTTTAGGGTCCAGTATGTAATTTTTAAGTTGAAGGACCTCATAAGGATACGCATAAATTGAAATTTGAGGGCCATTAATGAAAGTTTAGGGTCAAGTATGTAATTTTCAAGGTGAAGGACCAATTCATGAGGTCGGGGGACTAATTGAGATAAACTGAAAGTTTAGAGATTCAATTAATAGATCGAGGGTCTAATCGAAAGATTAGAAGTTTCAGGATTTAATTGAGAATCCAAAGACCCAATTGATGAAATTAGACGTTTGGGGTGCCGCTACATCAGGCTGTGTAAATTAAGATGCATAAAATTGTTATATAATGCTATTTATTATCATTTATTTATTTAAAATTATTGCTATATAATTCTGTTAGGAAATTCCGTGAAAATAATTTTATATAATGAGAAAGAAGCCACATAAGGGGCTATCGTGTTTTACGGTCACTTGACTTGCATATCACCGCCATGGCAGTCCTGTAAATTCGAACAACAATTAGGATAATTTTCAGCGAACTGTTGCTCCTAGTAATTTACTTATTAAGGTGCATAAGCATATCTGTAGAGATCCATTTTCAGAAATTCCTGCTTTTAATTTTTGAAAAATGTCTCTTTTCATGGATAGCAAAGGTCACCCCCCCCCCCCTAGTTGGCATTTTTTCATTGAAAAACATTTAATTTTAGTTAACTTGGAAAAGTCCAGGAATTCAAAACAACTTGATATACAGAACAACTAAATATGCTCTTCATCAGTACTGTTAGTATCACACGATTCATGATTTGAATTGTACAATTTTACACAATTTGTAAAATTAGTGATTCACATTAGCTTTTGAATTACAGAAACATTTGACTCATGTGATTTCTGTACAATTTGGTATGATTCTTGGTACAATTCACGATTTGATAAATATTTGTATTTAATATATAATTTGTGTTGATTAAGGTTTCATAATCATTTTACATTAAATAACTATATAAATTTAAATAAATTTTAGAGTTAAACACTTCTTTTATATTAAAATTTTAATATTAATTATGTGTCATTTTTTTTAGTTTGCTCTATAAATTTGTACTTGTAATATTAAAAATAAGAATTTAATATATAAATCATGAAAAAAAATATAAAAGTCAAATGTACACTCTTAGTGTGAAATAATTTATTTAAAATTTTCTTTTATAATTAATGAATTAAATTCTTTCCTTTAAATTGATATGGAAAGAAAATCTATAAATTATGAAATTGATATAAACAAGAAGAATTCAATAAGTAAGAACATAAAAAATTTCTTAAATTATGACAAACCACAATGATAGAGTATGTACTCTTTTGTTAAGTAATTTATTTAAATTCTTATCTTATAATTAATTCATTTAAATGTTTTCCTTAAGATTAATATGGAAAAAGAATTTGTAAATTGTAAGATTGATATGAAAAATAAGATTTCAACAAAAAAAGAAAATAAATTCTTTAAGATGTGTCAAAAGTCAATAGGGGCAAATATATATTCTTATCACTAAATAATTTATTTAGATACTTTTCTTATAATTAATTCAATTATTTTGGGGAGAAGTCTTTTATTTGAATGTGGAATGCCATTTTTAGAATTAAAATTATCTTAAGAAGGTAAAAGGTTTGAAACAAACCCCCTAATGAATATTTTATAATCTAGCCCTCCGACTCGTTATTTTAACCAAATTGAAAAAGTGATTGAGATTTTTTTTTAACTCCAAATTGGTAATTTTATTTAAGACCTTTTCACAGAATGTTAATAAAATAAATTTTTTAATGACCTTTTTTAATGTTAATAAATTGTCTTTTTCCTCTGTTTTTTTGGGTTGAAATGACCACCATTTATCTTTAAACTCCGTAGGCCATATTCCTCTGAAACAGAAAAAATAGATTGTAAAAAGGAAAAAATTGGGAAACAAATGAGAAAAATAAAAAACTGAATCGTGGCAATAAAGTTTTTTTTTTCGAAGGTCTCAAAAAATTTCAATGTTAAATAAATGAGTTGGAGCAAATTCTAGAAAAAAATATTACTTTATCATGTCAGCCTTCAAAACACAAAAGTTTAATAGAATGACAACTTAAGTTGATTTTTTTATAAGATCAGAAACCAAATTGATAAAATTGAATATTTTGCAGTGTAAAATTGAATATCCGCACCTTACCCTTAATACCCAAACGGAGCCCTCAAGTGACAAGTAACAGGCCACCTCCTCAATGACATCGGCCACTGCCTTCCATCTCCTCCCCGCACACATCTTGGCTTTGGCTTCTCTCTCTCTCTCTCTCTCTCTCTCTCTCTCTCTCACACACACACACACACACTGTTTAGTAACTACATCATCAATCACTAAATACAAAGAGCTGCAGTTATTGAACGAATCAATGATTGCTTTTTTGGTTGATTTATTTACTCAAAAAAGTCTCGTGATCATCACTAATTAGTGACCGAAAACATCATTCACTAATTAGTGACCGTTACTAATAGGGTCAATAATTCACTCTTTCGCTAGGTACTAAATTGGTCACTAATTAGTGATTGCTAGTAATTTAGTCACTAAACAGTGACCGTTATATATCGTCACTAATTAGTAACCGAAAACAGTCAGTCCCTAATTAGCAACCAACTAATTAGTGATTAATGGTTTTTGGTCACTGACTATTTAATAACCCTTTTTATTAACAAAATTAAATACAAATTTAGTGATTTCGTATGCGATAACTAATTAATGACCACTGTTTTGTCATCGCTAATAGATCATTAATTAGTGACCCCATTAATCTTATTATTCTAATCGTGTGCAGATTCACAATTGAGTTACTAATTTTATAATCTCTTTGTAACCCATTTTAGGAGTCATTGGTACTATAATTATTGTAATACATATATATTATTTCAATTTCCATAATGCATATCAATTATTTGTATTCCTATAATTTCTATAATGCATATTTATCATTTCATTTGTAATTCACCTCAAGTACACATGAAAAGTAATTAAATATCAGGATACAATCATTTTCAAATGTGAAAATTTTTAATAATACAATTTGATAACTATATTTAAACATAAAAAAATAAGAATGTAAAATTTTAAAATATAACAATATTAAAATGTAATTTTATTGCTAAGAGACTTCTCCAATCCTCTTATTTTAGCTTGATGATCTACCTTATATTGTATTGAACTTTTTCATTATTGCATCTATTGTAGCTATTATAGACTACTCCATGTCCTTTATTACCTCATCTTTGACCTTTATCTAGTAATTTACTTATTAAGGTGCATAAGCTTATTTGTAAATATCTATTTTCAGAAATTCTTCCTAATTTTTGAAAAATGTCTCCTTTTATAGATAGCAAAGGTTTTTCCCCCCTTTTTAGTTGGTGTTTTTTTTGTTGAAAAACATTTTAATTTAGTTAACTTGAAGAAGTCCACTAATTCAAAACAACTTGACATATAGATGAGCAAATATGCTTTTAGCAATGTTTTTAAAATTGCACGATTCATGATTTGATTTATGGAATTCTAAATAATTTGTAAAGTTAGCAATTCATATCAGTTGTTGAATTGCAAAAGCATTTGACTCGTGTGATTTGCACATAATTCGATATAATTCCCGATACAATTCACAATTTGATAAATATTTGTATTTAATATATAATTTGTGTGGACTAAATCAATAGTTAGTAGTTTCATAATCATTTTACATTAAATAACTACATAGATTTGGTATAAATTTTAGTGTTAAACACTTCTTTTATATTAAAATTTTAATATTAATTATGTGCCATTTTCTTTTATTAGTATACTTTACAAATTCGTACTTATAATATAAAAAATAAGAATTTAATATATAAGAAAACAAATTTCTTAACTCATGACAAAAAGTAAAAGTCAAATATATTATTAAATAATTTATTTAAATTCTTCTTTATAATTAATGTATTTAAATTCTTTCCTTTAAATTCATATAGAAAGAAAATCTGTAAATTGTGAAATTGATATAAACAAGAAGAATTCAATAAGTAAGAACATAAAAAATTTCTTAAATTGTGACAAAACTCAATGATGGAGAATATACTTTTTGTTAAATTATTTATTTAAATTCTTATCTTATAATTAATTCATTTAAATGTTTTCCTCAAAATTAATATGGAAAAGGAATTTGCAAATTGTAAGATTGATATAAAAAATAAGATTTCAACGAATAAGAAAACAAATTTTTTAAATTGTGTCAAAAGCCAAGAGGGTCAAATATATATTCTTATCTTGAAATAATTTACTTAAATTCTTTCCTTATAATTAATTCAATTACTTGAGTGAGAAATATTTTATTTGGGTGTGGAATGACATTTTTTGAATTCAAATTACCTTGAGAAGATAAAAGGTTTGAAGCAAACCCTCCTAATTTGTCACGACCCAAAATCGGATACGTAACCGGCGCAAGAGTCAGAATAAATCTCAACTCATGCAAGCCTGACAGAAACACTAAATTTAATTGAAAAGTAGAAAGTCTGATATAACTCAAATAAAATCCAAACCAAGCTAACTGAAATATCAAACACAAAACAGAATCCTATCTGTAGTCAAATGGAGCATACTAAAATTCCAGGAAATACAAAAATCTGATAGAAACTGAATAACTGACTCTGGATAGAAAAAATCTAAACAAAACTGCTGATGACACGGACTCCTCTCAGTAAGTAGGATCCACTGGATCAGCATACTCAGAATCTGAAAAAAATAAGAGTGAGTCTATCGATCCAGTGAATAATAATCTACATTTATGAAAACAAAGGACATGCATACAGATATAACATGTAACTTACTAAAAACAGGTTTTATGCAAACACTTTCTATAATTTAGGAAGTTCGTAATCCTGAATATAACATATATCAGGAAACTGATCGGCGACACACAGTTAGCCGATAACCAAGGCAGCGACACACAGTCAACTGATAATCAAAGCAGCGACACACAGTCAGCTGGTAATGGCAATAATGCCCAAGTAACAAAATGGCAACATATGCCCTGATAACTGAATGATAATATATGCCCTCATAACTGAATGACAACACATGCCCTGAAAACTAAATAGCAACACATGCCCTGAATAACTGAATGGCAACATATGCCCTGAAAACTGGAATGACAACATATGCCCTGAATAACTGAAATGGCAACATATGCCTTGAATAACTGTAATGACAACATATGCCCTGAAAACTGAAATGTTTAGCACCATCACCCCTGCTAGATGGGGACCCATACAGGGTGCAAATCATGCTAACGTGTACTGCCGTCAGTTGCAGTGTTCAAAAATTCGAAACTCCCTCAAAATAATGTTTTCTAGATTTAACAGAACAGTTAACTGAATAATTCCATATACTGATATAAAACTAAATCAAATATAAATAACAGACAAGTTTCCAAAATAATTTCAGAAATTACATGCATGTCCCTTGTCATATAATTTAACAAAAATTTAATCAGATTTGCAGAAAATCAGGTAAATAATTAAAAACAGATTTAATTTAAATATGGAAAGCAGAATAGCTCATAAATACACATTATTACTCACAGAATGACGAAATCGGGAAATCCAACACCGGACGACATAGCTCAACTGGAATCGTGCGATCAATCTAAATCAAGAAATAATAGTATAGCTAAATTTATATTTCTATAATGATGATTTAAATTTAAAAAGAATAAACAAATTCCAAGGTTTTTCGTGCCCGAACCCCTACTTTAATTATTTAAGTCCCGAACCGACCAAATAGTTCACGAACTGGATCTTGACAACATGAACCAGCCTCTTAAATCATTAAAACTAGCATATTAAACTTCCAAAAGTCATTTCATAAAGTGAACCAACCATTAAAGGAATAAACTGGCTATGAACCGGCTATTCGGAGGCTAAACCGGCCATAAACCGAACCTTAAATCACTAATCTAATCATATTTTTATTTCCAAAACATTTAAATTTCTTGGAACTGGCTTAAAAGGCACTGAACCAGTCCAAAGGAGCACTGAACCGGCCTTTAGAAAGCTGAACCAGTCGGTTTAATGCAATTTTGCCTTGAATCGGCCTCAAAACTAATTTATTTTTAATAATCTAGAATTTAAATAATTACCTTAATTATTTATTTATTTTATTATGCCCTGAACCGGAGATAAACCGGCCAATAAACATGTGAATCGGACTGGTTTTTATTGAACCGGCCGGTTCTCTATATATTTTTATTTAAAAAGCCTTGAACCGGGGCTAAACAGTATTGTTTTTCATTGAACCGGAATTTAATTAGTTAAATAATTAAATATTTTAATTACTCAACTCTTGAACCGGTGGAGAACTGATTGTTTACTAGGTGAATTGGCCTCCTTTTAAATTTTCTGTTAATATATTTATTATTATTGTTATTTTTTATTATTGTTATTCCGGATTTCACCCAAATCCTGTACAAACCCGGACTGTTTCTCCCTTACCTGAATGAAAAACTACTTTAATTCAAGCTTAGATTGAAAACTTACCAGAAAATTCCACTGCAGACTCCCTTGCCTAAACTCGACGAACTCCGATGACCATTAATCCCCTCTGATTTGGACGAAGGATAAAGGAAATTCCATAAATCTTCCTGTCGTCCAACGGGCCGTCCGAGAGAAATTTTTGTCTCGGTTTGGTGAATTTGAATTGAAATTCCCCAAATTGGTTTGTGGGTTGCGTTCCTTCTTTCCCATCACCTTTATATACTCCACAAACTTGAATTAATTCCTTCCATTTTGTTCAAATTTTGGAGATCTTAAGATTACAAGATCCGGATGGCTCTAGGATAGTCCAAATCAACTTCTTGATATTTAAAATTTGGTCCCTGTTCTTTTGATCTTCTCCAGATCTGCTCCCCGAATTTTCTAACTAATGCTATTTAGGCCCCTTATTCTTTATTTCATTAGATTTTGTCCTTGCATATTTTGATTTTACGCGATTTGGTCCCTTAAATTTTTTTAAATTTTTTTTAAAAAAATACCCCAAATTTTTGGGGTATTACATAATTAATATGTTATAATCTAGCTCTCGGAGTTATTATTTTAACAAAATTGACAAAGTGATTGAGATTTTTTTTATCCTCCAAATTAGTAATTTTATTTAAGACCTTTTCATAGAATGTTAATAAAATAATTTTTTTAGTAATGAATCATGAGTTATTGTATTGTTTTTTTCTTTTTTTGGGGGGTTAAAATGACTGTCATTTCTCTCTAAACTCCATAGGTCATATTCCACTGAAGCCGAAAAATTAGATAGTAAAAAGGAAAAAAAATTGGAAAACAAATAAGAATAATCAAAAATTGAATCATTTTTAATGAAATTTCTTTTCAAAGGTCTCAAAAAATTTCTATGTTACAGGAGTGGGTTGGAGAAAATTCTAGAAAAAAAAATTTACTTTATCATGTCAGCCTTCAAAACACAGAAGTTTAATAGAATGACTAATTGAGTTGATTTTTTTGTAAGTTCAGAAACCAAATTGATAAAATTTAATATTTTTAGCGTAAATAGAAGAAGGTGTCTACTTTGGGACACGTCGGCACCTTACCCTTAATATCCAAACGCATCCCTCAGGTGACAAGTACCCGGCCACCTCATCAATGTCGTCGGCCACTGCCTTCTACCGGCCTGGATAAATTTAACCAACCCATTGTTCCTCCCCGCGGACACCTTTGCCTTTGGCTTCTCTCTTTCACTATATCTCTAATTATCTGCACTTCGTTACTCTGTGTGTGTGTGTGTGTGTGTGTGTGTGTGTGTGTGTGTGTGCAGATTCTAATTTAACGTTACGGATGGCAAAATCACTGGAGGAGCAACACCCAGTTAAGGTCATTGGATGGGCAGCAAAGGATTCATCTGGTGTCTTGGCCCCCTTCAATTTCTCCAGAAGGTAATTAAAGGCGTTGTTATACGTTTAGGGGTCTTAATTGAAATGTAATTTATGTTCTGATTAATTATGTAATTCTTGAATGGTGTAAACACTGTAGGGCAACTGGAGAGAAGGACGTGACGTTTAAAGTATTATATTGCGGAGTCTGCCACTCTGACCTTAACTCAACAAGAAATTTCCTTACCTGTCCAATTTCTAATGAATCAAGATAACCATTTATTCCAGTATAAATAGTAATTATCTGTTCTTCCACTGAAAGAGGAGCGGATTGGGATTGTTTGAGCAATTCACGAAATCGTTCACCTCTTGCCAATTGGTTCTGAGTAGCTTTATCGAGATCAGAAGCAAATTGTGCAAAGGCTTCTAATTCTGTGAATTGTGCAAGTTCCAATTTTAATTTGCCAGCTACTTGTTTCATAGCTTTAATTTGAGCTATAGATCCTACTCACCAGGTCAAGAATGAATGGGGCAACTCCAATTATCCTGTTATTCCTGGGTATTTCTGTTAGTTTCTCCCTTATCACTTTCTTCAATTCATTTTGCTTTTCCATGGATAACAGAGCAAATTTTTATCTTTGTTGATGAAAATTAATGGAGCATTTGGTTTTTTTTCTTTTAATTACAAGAATCTCATATAAATCAAGAAATAATGAAGATCAAAAGATGAAATTTCAAATAATGAAAGAAAGAAATTGGTATTAGAGAGAATTTTTGCTGTGCAACGTCTTTTGTCCTGAAGAAAAAATGCTATCTTACGTTGAGGAGCTACTTATGATACAAGTCAATTCAATGGATTTTTGCAGGCGTGAGATTGTGGGTGCCGTAACGGAGGTTGGTAGTAAGGTGCAGAAATTCAAAGTTGGAGATAGAGTCGGAGTTGGGTGCATGGTTGGATCATGCCACTCTTGTGAAAATTGCGCTAATGGTCTAGAAAATTACTGCCCTAAGGTGATATTAACCTACAATGGTATCTACCATGATGGAGCCCCTACATACGGAGGTTACTCCAATATCATGGTTTGTGATAAGATTTTTGTGATTAGCATTCCAGCGAGCCTCCCCCTTGATGCTCGTGCTCCTCTACTATGCGCCGGGATTACAACTTACAGTCCTCTTAGACACTTTGGACTTGACAAGCCTGGCATGCATGTGGGTGTTGTTGGCCTTGGTGGCCTTGGCCACACAGCTGTAAAATTCGCAAAGGCTTTTGGAGTTAAAGTCACTAAGCCTCAAAACTGCCTAAATTCACTGTTTTATGGCATCTGAACATATTAGTTTTTGTTAAGTCCCAGAACTCCTAGTTCTTTCAATTTAGCCCTCAGATTTTTTATTAATCCTCTCAAGTTTTGATTGTTTCACCTACGTCCCTACGGTTCAGAATTTAGTACATTGAACTTTTAATTAGTTCTATTAGTTTCTTAAAATTTTTAATTAAGGCACAAAACTTACATAAATTATGGTTTGTACTAAAAATAAAGAAATCAGTGTATAAGGGCCCTTCTTTCCTAGTGTTGAGGCACAGAGTTCATAGCTCTGGCCAGGGGTGTTCATAGTTTTAAAAAACCGAATCAGATTGGACCGAATCGTACCGTACCTTACTGAAAGTTAGGTTTTTTTTATAAATATTATAGGTTTTGGTATTAGGTAATACCGTATCGAATATTTTGGTATGGTTTAGGTTTTAGAAATTAAAAACCGATAAAAAACTATACCGAACCGAATAATAAATATAATAATTTATTAAATTATTTATATTTTATATGAAATATTTAAATTTATAAAAATTAAGATCAATTTAATAGTAAATTAAAAAAATTAAAAAGACAAAGACTCGTGTAAAAAATAAGTATAAATATGGGAATTAAAGTGTAAAAAGAAGAAATATATTTAACCTTAATCCCAAATTTGATTTTGCTGTGGTCCATGTTATGTAATCCCAGATTTTGTTTTGTTGAGGTCCATGTTATGTAATGGGCTTCTACTCCAATAGTGTGGTCTTCGGATAGCAAGACCATAACTCAATTTGATGATTTGATTTTTAGTATATTTTGGGAGTTTTGACATTCTCTTACTTGGTATATCGAACAAAGTATTTCATTTTTTGATATACATAGACTATGATCTTATGAAGGTGTTAGAGACATCTGATTTTGGATTAGAGATTGTGAGTACTGGATAGTTTTAAGGTTTTCAAATCTTTCATTTTATTTTCTAACTAGTTTGACATTCACAAAATATGATCATATGAATGAACTAGAGACATCTAATTTTTAATTAAAAATTATAAGTAATAGTAGTTTTAAGGTTTCTTAACTTTCCCGTTAGTTCCTAACGGCTTGTTTGACAAAATGTGGGTTTAGGGAAAGCAAATTTGAAAAAAGTGGGTTTGGCAAAAGTATGTTGTGTTTTTGATTACATAGCAATGGGGAAGGTTGATTATAAATAAAATGTCCAAAAAGTCAAATAATAAGTTTTTGCTAGATTTGCTTCCTTTTAGTTGAAATAAAATTCTATGCACTGATTCAGTTATGTAGTGCTTAGATTTCCTTAATTTCTTTTTTTTTCCTTTAAGTTTCTTTAATGTTTATATTGGGAATAGCTATATAAGAGATAAGGTGCCAATTTATATGTTGCTTGAAGATCTTTGTGAAAATGAGAAAAACCCTTACTCGTTATATCATATTATTTGACTTGAATGATTAGAGATAAAAAAAAAAAAATAACTTAATAGTAAAAAAATCGAACCGAACCGAACCGTACCGTACTGAAATCGAAGAAAACTGAAGGGATTGGTACCGGTATCAAGAAATGTGGTTTTAGTTTTAATTTCAAAAAACTGAATATATTGGTATGGTATAAATTTTGTAAAAAAAAACTGTAAAAAATTGAACCGTGACCACTTCTAGCTATGGCTGGTCCACTGGCAAAAGTAGTGTTTACTATTCACATAGCCGACGTGAATGGTATCTTCGAATTGTTTCTCAAATATGGGGGCGTTCGATAGGGCTGATAGGATAAGTTTTATCAGTCGTTACACGTGTTCTGTTGGCATGTAACAAAACAAGAGAATGATATGTATCTGTGTATGACAGATAGTGTATCTGGCGTGTGTGGGGGGATAAAATTTATCCCCCCGATAAACATCTGTTTTGGACAGAAATGGCCTCCGAATTGCCCACGAGCCGTAACAGTCTTCGTCCTCTCGAACGATGGCGATCCACAAGCCACGACCAGACACTTGCAATCGCCACGATCCATAAGCCACAAGCCACGACCAGACACTCGCAATCTTCGTCTTCCCGGATATTCTTCGTGAACGATCTTCTTCTGGAACACCAATTGCCGGTATCGCGAGCGTTGATCTATCTTAGCGGTTGCTGTCTATGCCCACCGCCGGCTTCTGGCCCGAACGACTCGATTCCTCTACATCGTTCGCAGCTTCAGGCCTGAACGACCCGGCTTCTGGAGGTCGTTCTTGGTCTGCCTAGGTCGACTAGAAGGGCCGACCTAGCCCGGCATGTCAGAGGCTGATGGCCGGTTGTTAGAGGGTGGATCGTGATCCGACCCAGCCCGGCTGTCATGCGACTCGACGCGGGCTTTGCGTGCAACCCGATCTAGCAGGCCAGCTAGATTGGGTTTGTTTTTGTTTTTTTTTTTTATATAAAAGAGTTTTTTTGGTAAATTTAAAGTTTTAACCTACTTTTCAAAAATTTTATTTTATTTGTTACCTGTTTAACCAAACACATGATAAAATTTATCCTTCTGCTAAATTTATCCAGCTATATCTTATCAGTTTATATCTTATCCTTTCATCCGAACGCTCCCTATATATATACATACGTATATACGTCATCGGCCACTGTTGTGGCCCTGAAACAGTGACCCAGTCACCACTCGGTTGCCAAATAATAGTACCAATTTTATCATCTTGCCCTTGCCCATTTTGTCTAGGCCTGTTTCCGCGCACAAATTCGCACTTCCATGGTTGTCTTGTCCCACTTTGCCCTTCAGGTTGTATTTTTGAATTAATTAATGAATATATGTAATAAAATTAGCATTATTATTATTCTTTTTATATTTTTATTTTTTCAAATGTGAGGAACTAAATTTATTAAATTAAATTAGAACAATTTTTTCTAGAATTAGATAAATTATTAAATAAATTCAGGATTATTTAAATTAATAATAACATTGTTTTTATTAGATTTTATATCAAATCTTGTATAATTAATTTGATCAAAATTAATGAATAAGATTAATTAATATTTGAAAAAGAAAGATAATAATAAATTAATATATTAAAAAATAATTGCAGTTAATTTCATTCATTGGATTTGAATAAATCAATAGTGAAAGATTTGATATTAATATTTTATATTTATATTAGTACCAATTGATCATATATATATATATATATATATTAAAAGGACATGTGGATAGTTTTATTATATTAAATTTGGTTTTACTTCACGTTCTAGAAGTAAGAAAAGGATTGTACATTTTAAAAATATAATAATAAAATATATAGTAAAACCAAAACTTATATATATATATATATATATTAAAATTAGTAAACTTTTTTTTGCCATTTATGAGTTTATAAAGTTATCATTTATGAACTCAAATGATTGTTATATACAAGTGATGCTATATATATATATATATATAAATATATTTGTATCAAACTAAATTTATATATATTTTATATATTTGTATATTTATATTTGTATTTTACATAAAGTACTATAAAAGTTATACAATATTTAATATCTCGTGCAAATTACAAACTCAATACTAGTTATATTAGAAGATTTTGAAAGTTTTTCTTTTCTTTTATTGGAATTTTGTAAGAGTGATTCATGATAGTGACATATATACCCATGTAAGGTAAATATAAATTTTCTTCTTTTTTTTTCTTTTCTTAATCTAATTCTGTTGCATACAATGATAAAATATTAAATAACAAAAAACTTATAAGTCCAATCTGTTTGGAAAAAGAAATGAAGAGTATCATTTATAAAAACAATTGTCGTCTAATCTTACTTGGATTAGACATGGTTAAGTCCACATGTTTAGGTTTGATTATGTCCAGATTTGATCTAATTAATCAAGTAACTCCCTTTCATTTGGTTCTTGGATGAGGGTTTAACGTAATCGTATCCCATAATTAATAGCAGTATTATGATTTTGCCAGGTAGTTTCAGTTTGGTCAAAATTAGTTATTAAGTTGGTGCCTTGCACAGATTTATATAATTGAAAAAGTATCGTAATCCTTTTCATAGTGTCAAAATTGCAATAATTCTCTTCAAAATAACGATATAGCCATTTGTAATATATATAATATGATTTTTAATTTTTGAAAAAAAATAAAAATAAAAATAATAAATTATGGAAAATATTTTTAATTAAATTAAATATTTACTATTTATGTTTCATTAAATAATTAAATAATATAATATATTTGCAAAATTATTTTTAAATATATTACAAATCCACCTAAAAAATCTAAAATATTCAAAGAAATAATAATAACAATAATAAGAATAATACTTAATCAATTAATTAATTAATTAATTCAGCGCGGGTACTATTGGAGGCCTGCAGGCCAATACTGCACCTGAGTTACCTGGGTAAGTACCGATTTGGTCCCCAGAGAAGGCAACATTTCCATTTAGGCCAATCAAACTATATATTTTATAAATTTAGTCCTTAAACTTGCAAAAGGTTCATCCAATTAAATCTACTTTGTTTGGTATTCGACCTTTAATAATATTTAGAGGCAGGTATGACAAAGTGATTAAGATTTTTTTTTCCAAAAATTTGCTCCAAGTTAGTAGTTTAATTTAAAAATTTTTCCTAGGATGTTAATAAAATTAATTTTTTAACTAAATCAGTTATTATATTTTCTTTTTTCCTTTCTCTGTTAAGTTGACCACCATTTCTCTCTAAACTCCGTAGGCCCATATTCTCCTAAAATCGAATAAATAGATTGTTAAAAGGGAAAAATTTGGGAAACAAATAAGAAAATAAAAAATGGAATCCTTATGATGAATTTTTTTTTCCGGATGTCCCAAAAAATTTGTATGTTGAAAAAGTGAGTTGGAGCAAATTCTAGGAAAAAAAAGTGACCTTATCATGACCAATTGAGTTAATTTTTATAAGTTTAGAAACCAGATTGATAAAATTTGTAGTGCAAGGACTCAAATGTAAGGTGGTGTCTACTTTGGGGTTTCTTGCCACGAAAGGAAAATTTAAATACTCAAAGG